AAATTTAAAACAATATACAATTTAATCCAACATATAATTTGTATTTTTCTATAACAAAATTGATACACGCATCAGTATACCATTGCAACTTTGGTTCTCAAAAGTTTTAAGGCATGATATCAACAACTATCAAAGTGGTGTCAATACTCAACCCGGTCGAGATTTTGGATCTTTTTGCAATTCATTATCAAAAAATAACATTTCTAGTATTTGCTTTTACTTTATGAGTACTTTGATCCTATATCTTCAAATTCATTCATTTAAGTCCCCAATTGCAACTTTTCTTGCAATATAATTTCTCAACTTTTAAATGATTTTCAATGAAGTTTAGAAAATTCTATTATTATGCATTTAAGTTCTTTTCTACACAAAAAATGAAAATTATGTACAATTTATGAAAAAAAAATCATATTCTACCTATCCAAATATCAATAAAATCAAGGCTAAAATAAGAAATTAAAACATATAAAATACACTTCATCAAAGGGGAGTGGAGGGATTTTTTTTTAATCAATTAAATTACAATGTTGACAAATAATATAATTTAATTAGTAAAAAAGTTATCCATCCCTTCTATTGATGATGTGAATTTATATATATATTAATATAGAATTTTTGCCTTGATATTATTAATATTTGGATGAATTCTATATGATTTTACATAGTTTTCATTTTTTGCGCAGAAAAGAATTCGAATGCATAATAATAGGAGTTTTTGAGTTTAATTGAACATTTTTTGAAAGTTGAGGGACTGAACTGCACGAAGAAAGGTATTTCTCTTCAGGACCTAAAGGAATGAATCTTAAGTATCGGAATCTAAGTGCTCATCTACAAAATCTGAAGGTCCAGATCTGCACTTTTACCATTGAAGAAATGCAAAAAGAGGCCGGAAACCTGATGCGGGTGTTGTGTCGACACATGATTGGGGTGCCGACACCATGCGTTTAGCATTCAGAATCAAAGTTTCTGTTTCATGTTTTGTGTCGATACGTAATTTGTGGTATCGATACTATGCGTTCAGTGTCCAAAATTCAAGTTTCTTATTCTATTCCAAGTCTTAATTCTTTTCTAATAGGGTTTTTTAAACTTTATAAATACTCATTAAAAAATCAGTTTGAGGGCCTTTGGAAGAAGACCAAGATAGATGGTTAAGAGGAATTTAACAACAAAAAGAGATCGAGACTTGAGATTTTACATCGCCAAATTGATTTTACTTGTCTTTGAATTTTATTTCATGATGTTGGATACTCGTATATTCATCATGGGATTGTTGATTTTCTTTTCTTTAATTATGAACTGATTTAGCCATTTAAGTCTACGATGTAGCCTAATCAATTTAATATAGAGTTTTATGATTTTTATACGGCTAAATTTAATTTTTCATCTACTAACTATTACTTTTTTTCATTTTAGTCTAAAAAGTTTAGTTTCTTTCAAAATCATCTATAAACTTTGAAAATCATTTCAAATTCATCTACTTAAAAAACTGTCGTTAGCTTTTTTAATGGAATGTCATGGCATGCTTATGTGACATCAATTGTGTGGCACATGTAATTCTAAAAAATTATACTTTAACCCAAAAACTTCACAAAATTTTCAATTAAGTTTTATATTCAAATCATTCTACCTTCTCAATGAGATTTTCTAAAAATTTTTTTTAATAAATTTATATGTTTTAATTTTAATTAACAATTACAAAATTCATCATTGTCATTATTAGGATAAAATTATATCATTCCTTTTTTTTTTATTTAGTTTGAAAAATTAATTTTATTTGTATTATCTCTTTCTCAAAATAACTTTTGCTTTTTTTTTTTTTCAAATTAAGAATTTGAGGATAATTTATGTTTATTTATATTACCCTTAAAAAGAAATCAAAGATGAAGAGAAACATTTTGTGATCAGATGATTAATTAAAGTAAATAGATAATAATAAGGTTAAAGTAAAAAAATATATATATTTGTTTACTTTGAAAAATAAAAAATAATAATAATTAATTTGTGACAAATTTGAAATTATAGAGCTATAATTATTTTGAAACAAATGGAGTAAAGTTAGAATGTACTCCTTACCTCCCAGAATAATAAGCATTTTTTATTTAGAATTTATCTTAAAATAATAGTGATTTTTTTATATTTTAAAGGAAGTCAATTTTTTATTTTTGCTTTAATTTTATGATTATATCTTAATTTTAATAATTTTTCTTATTAAAAAAGAGTAATGATATGGGGATGAAAATTTAAGACTAGAAAAATATAACCAAAATATTTTTCTAGTTTGTTCTCATACCTTGGTTATATTTTTCCAATTTAGGAACAAACTAGAAAATATTTTGGTTATATTTTTCTAGTCTTAAATTCTCGTCACCCTATCATTACTCTTTTATAATAAGAAGAATTATTAAAATTAAGATATAATCATAAAATTAAAGTAGAAATAAAAAAAATTATTTTCTTTAAAATATAAAAAAATCACTATTATTTTAAAATAAATACTAAAAAACAAAATGCTTATTATCCAAGGATGTAAGGAGTACATTCTAACTTTATTCCATTTGTCCCAAAATAATTATCACTCTATAATTTTAAATTTGTCTCAAATTAATTATTATTATTTTTATTTTCAAGGTAAATAAATATATTTTTTTACTTTAATCTTATTATTATCTATTTACTTTAATTAATCATTTCATCACTAAATGTTTGTCTTCAACTTTGATTTCTTTTTAAGGGTAACATAAGTAAATATAAATTATCCTCAAATTCTTAATTTGAAAAAAAAAAAACAAAAGTTATTTTTAGAAAGAGATAATACAAATAAAATTAATTTTTTGAACTAAATAAAAAAAGAAACGATATAATTTTATCCTAATAATGACAATGGTGAATTTTTTAGTTGTATTAATCATTCCATCACAAAATGTTTGTCTTCAACTTTGATTTCTTTTTAAGGGTAACATAAGTAAATATAAATTATCCTCAAATTCTTAATTTGAAAAAAAAAAAAACAAAAGTTATTTTTAGAAAGAGATAATACAAATAAAATTAATTTTTTGAACTAAATAAAAAAAGAAATGATATAATTTTATCCTAATAATGACAATGGTGAATTTTTTAGTTGTGAATCAAAATTAAAACATTTGAATTTATTAAAAAATTTTTAAAAAAATTAAAGAAAAAATCTTGCTGAGAAAATACAATGATTTGAATATAAAACTTAATTGAAAATTTTGTAAAGTTTTTGGGGTTAAAGTGTAATTTTTCAGAACTACGTGTGCCGCATAATTGGTGCCACGAAAGCATGCCATGGGATTCCATTAAAAAAGCTAATAGTTGTTTTATACGTAGATGAATTTGAAATGATTTTCAAAGTTTATAGATGATTTTGAAAAAAACTAAACTTTCTAGATTAAAATGAAAAGAGAGTAATAGTTAGTAGATGAAAAATAAAATTTAGCCATTTTTATATTTTCAAGGTTTATTATTTTATGTAGAGTATATATTATTATTCTTAATGTTTTTTAATAATTGGCAACCATTAAGATTGATTTGGAGAGCATAATTGAGACCGAGAGGAGATTTTATGCAATATCTTCTAATAATATATATTATGAATTGAACGAAAGCCAGAGATAGACCAACATGATTCATGCAGTATTAGTGAAAAGTGGACATAATTTTTTACGTAAACTAGAGAATTTCACAGAACATAATACATATTTATCTGTTTAAATTCACATAGAAATGTAGTGGGTTAATATGTGAAGATAGGTTTCGTATTACTTGAGAAAGTATATTAAATAGGATAGGAAATCCTGCTATCATATAAATAATAAATACCTTGTAAGTATATTAATCTAAATTCTATATTAGTTGATTACGATGAAATCGGATGCCTTAGAATTTTAACTCTTGGTGTTACTTAAAGTCAATTTAGTTTTTCTTCAATTAATTTAGTTATTTAGTTTATTCAAATAATTTAATTTCAATAGTTCAAATAAAATTAGAATTAATTAATTTTGGTACTTAGTTAGTCTACGGTTTCTGTGGGATGATACTTTATTTTCATCATTATATTATTTGAATTGACTAGTATACTTGCTAGAGTGGAATTAGCTCATTAATTTTTTGGCGCCATTGTCAAAGACTATATTGACTCTAATTAATATCAAAGAAAATTAATTCTAGTTTTAATTTGATTTTTTTTCTTTTATTTGTTTTTCAAGTGTGCAAGTTAGTGCTTGACTCGTTTTGAAAACATAGAACTTGCACCACTTGATCCTGAGATAGAGCGATCTTTTCACCTTTTAAACATAAAGAAGGAAGCTTTATTTGTCAATCAAACTCACAAGATGGCAGAAGAAGTTGTTGCGAGAACCTTGAGAAAGTATGGATCACCTTCGATGGACAGTGTGGCCTCATGTATAAGGAAACTAGCAATACAAGACATATAAGGAAACCAGCAATACAAGCTAACAACTTTGAAATCAAGCCAACTTATCTTTTTCCCAGAATTAGAGTTTTTGTTTCCTATTCTGTGTCGATACATAATTTATAGTGTCGACACCATGCTTTCAGCATTCAAAATTCAAGTTTTCTATTCTATTCTATTCCAAGTCCTACTTTTTTTCTAATAGGGTTTCTTAAACTCCATAAATACTCATTAAAAAATCAGTTCTTTTCCCTTACTCAGATTCTTGTTTTGCTACCTAATAAACGCCTTATTAATTTTTAAGGATCTTGATCCCCACTATTGATTAATTTTGTTAATTAATTCTAGTTACTTGAGGTACTAGATTGTAATACCCCAAAATTTTTAGAGCATTAAAGTAAATTGGGGACCTAATTGTGAAGAAATATCATTAATGAATGTAATAGCAAAAGTTTTCAAAGTTCAGGGGCTAAAAAGAAAGGAAATTAGGATAAGGATCAAGGTTGATATTTCTCTCCTCAGCCACGTGTTTTGCTTTTCCTTATCTTCTCCTTCTTCTCGATTCTTCCTCCCGACAAGCCCCCAAGCTGCCGACAGTCCTCTCTTGAGGAATCGGCAAAAGCTTGCTATTCTTCTCTTCTTTTCTTGTTAAAGAACTGATTTTGGGACCTAGAACCCTCCCTTTGAAGTAGAAATTTCTAGATCTGCTCTCCTTTCCTCTTCCCTTCGGTCCGTGAGTTTTTGTTGGTTGGGGGTGCGATTTTTTGGGCATTTTCGGGTAAGCCACAGCCATGAATCTCCCTTCTCCAGCTTTGATTGCCTTGGGTTTATGTTAATTGCTCTTGGTTCCTTCGATTTTGGGTAGTTTCCTTGAGTTTCCCCTGCAGATGCCGCCGGGTTCTTCTCCCTGCCAAGTTTGGTTCTTGCTGGAAAATTCTGGTATGATGGCCACTTCTTTAAGCCCTAAATTAGCCATTTAATTGCTGCTTGTGATGTCCGAATTTGGCTAGGAAATGGGGAAATTCCAGTAGCAATTAAGAGGGATTTAAGTGTGTTTTGTTGCTTAATTTAAGTGAGATTTATGTGATTGAGTGTTAGTTAATTGCTGTGATTTTTGGAGAGAAAATCCTGTGGAATTAGCTAGTGTTTTGGCCAATTTGTGAAAGTCGGGGTTACTGTTCACGTCGGGTTACTGTTCAAGGGTACTGTTCACCGACACTGTTCACGCCCCAAGGGCCAACATTTAACGGGAATTAAAATGATTAGTTTGTGATATGAGAACGGATTTGGAGATATTTGATCATGTGGAAAGTGATGGAAATAGCATTGTGATTAGGAATGATCCTAATGATGAGTTTACCTTGAATTTGTGATAGTGGTATTAATTCTTGAAATATCTTGATTAGGTTCTTGATCGTCTTGTTAGTTAGTGCGTGAATCGAGTGCTCGGTTTTATGCAAGTGAGGTAAGTAGAATTATGGTAATGCCCGTACAGTTTTTAAAAGCATGTTTTGATTTGTTTTTGAAGTGGTGGCGGGATTAAATCCGTTTTATACAAAATAAGTATGATTGATTTGAATTGAAAATTTTTATGATTTTTATGGATTTGAGCATGCCTACTTGAAGTTCATTTGATTGTCTTGATGATTCGAAAGTTAATTGTAAAGAATGATTTTCTGTTAACTTCTGCCTGTTTTGTCTCTGATGGGGTTATGTTATTGTAATCCTACTAGTGGGGGTTAAACGCTAGCACATGTCGACATGTTATTGATAGAACCGGTTCGTTCAAGTGTAGCCTGCCAGTGGGAAGTTTAATACACTGGCCATGACCTATAGTGGAGATGTCTATTTCGTTCCCGTACCGTATTTGTTTTCGTGATTGTACTTGTTGGCATGCTACAAGTTTAATTAAGGGCACTCCATATTATACTTACTGAGTTTATCTCATAGTTTTTCCTTGTCCACCATTTCAGGAAGTGAAACCGAGGACGGGGAAACCACGGGAAGTGACGAGTTAGAAGGCTAGCCATATTGTAATTGGATATAGATTTTCAAAATAAATCATGATCTTGTAATCCAAAGTGTATTTGGAGATTTATGATCGGAGAAATCTTATAATTTGATCTTCAGATTTTGATGGTATTAGATTGTGGTGTGATAAGTTCCGAGCCTTGTGCATTTGTGGAACCCGTCTCATGAGTGCACGGCGTCTGTCGCGTCTCGAAATTGGGTTTTGGGGCGTGACATACATCTTGATGTCCTAGTTATATCTACTCCTGAATCCTTGTTCTTGTTGTCATTATTGAGACTTTCTTATAGGCTTGGGTTTTGAATCCTATTGCTTATCTCATGGTTAATTCTTGCCTCTTGATTTTGATTGCTTGGTTAAACCTAATCCTGATTCTTGGTGAATGTCGTTTTTGTTGCTCAATATCTAAGGCATTCTACCTTACATTCTTTTATTCCAGTATTCATCCAAGCATTCATATTTGCCCTTGATTTCGTTTGTGGCTATTTTGAAATTCTTGCCCATGTCTTTTGACTCTTGTTAATTGCTAAAATCTGTCTATTGATTCTAGTTGCCTTGTTAAACATGACCTTGATTATTGGTTAACTTTGTTTTGTGGTGGAATTTATAAGGTATTCTGCCTTATGTTATCTGTTTAAGCATATATTCAGGCATTCATACATGAATGCAAACAGAGATACACATAAGCATATACATACATACCAGCATGCATACATGGGTGTTCATACATGCATGCACATATAGATATTCATTCATACACGCATATACATGAATATGGGCTTTCATTTGAATAGGCTTACATGCATTCATTCATTTATTCATTCATGATCCCATGCATCCATTTGTTGCTTATCCATCTCTGATAGGGTTCAAAGTTTTAGTTGTAGTCGTTCATAAATCCTTGGCATGTTGTTTTGTTTGTTGGGCGCTAGGCCTTGACTTTGAGTCAAGGGCACCAGAAGGTCACGTTGATAAACCTCAAGTTCTCACTACTTGTGAGGAAGCGTGAAACTACCTCCTGCTTCCCAAATGGCCATTAGGGAGGTTGGAGAATGAGATTATTACTGGCTGGTCAGAGCAACGATGGGCGATGGGTACCTGTCCCTATAAAGTGGGTCTGACTGTTGTTCCTTTGAAATTGATGGCCATGTATCTCGAAATTGATTTCCTTGTAATTGTGACACTTGAATTTAATGACTCTAGTAGATTTTGAGTAGGTGTACTTGTTTTAAAGGGGCAAGATTGATGGGCCTTGTTATTAATGTTTCTGTCATTTTTCTGCCCAAACATTGTTTGATTCTATTGATATTTGGACCTTGGAACTTACTCTTTCACTGATCATTTGGAAACCTGATCCTTGGAGTTTGTAAAGTATGTTTCCCCAATGTAGAGGTTTACTTTTGATTTTGCAATGTGTTAGATGTTGTTTCTTTGATCATCGATATTATGATGGTCTTAAATTCAAGCCCGAGGCACCATTTCCAGATAGTTTTAGTTCTCTTGATGTTTTACCCTAGAGCTTGAAAGAAAAATGTAGGTTATAGGGTTCTGATTTTAGTTATAAAGGTAGTTATTTGGAACTCAAGATTTGATGTGCAAAGAGTCTAGATCTTTTGTGGTTCCTTTGATTTGATTTGATATGATTTTTCCTCAATCTTCCTAAACTCTTGATTTAAGTTATATCCTTGAGCATATCTTTGCTAACCAAATTTTATTGCAGCAATGGGGAAAAACTTTCCACATGGCTTTTTCTAAAACGTTTTCCTTGGCTTACACTAGTACTCTTAAGAATTTTGAGCTACCATTTCAAGAAGCTACCCATTGTGTTGGAGACCATGATTTACGTCTCAACTTGGCTAGTGCATCAAAAATTTTCCATGAAATTCCTTACCAACTCATCTTTGTTTTGGGTTCATAACATAGTTTAGCCATTGTTTTTCTATAGCCTTGACAGGATTTACTTTTGCTCCTTGTGTTCTTGGTACCCCCCTAGCCTTTAGAAGCTTTCCTCGCAAATTAGTTTATTGATTATTCCCACTAAGTAGCTAGTATTCTACTTTTAAGATTAGTTATGATTTGATATCAATGTTGTATAGTGGAAGAGTATCAGGCCATGCTCTGTTCATAGAAAGTTGGTGGGACAGCTTATAAATCATAGGTTGCCAAAGAACCTAATGGGTTCTCAAGTTGTTTTTCACATATATATGCCTTAGAGTTATATTCAAATCCAATTTGAGTTATTGACTCTCTATTGTATTAGCTCCACAATGGATTGTCATATGATGGGTACTTGTTTAGTTTTGGATTACGTGAAATCATTTGCTACTTTAGATGATCCTAAGTTTGAGTTTTGGTGACAAAACTCTTTTTTAGGAGGGGTGAATGTAATATCCCAAAATTTTCTAAGACCTTAAAATTGAAGTTAGGGACTTATGTGGTAGAAATTATTTTTGTAGGATTTAATAGCTAAAATTCACAAAGATAAGGGGGTTAAAAGTAAAAATTTGAGGATAAAAAGGGCTGAGCTGATTTCCTCTTTCTCTCCTTGCCTTTTTTTTTTATCATGGTTTCCCCTCAACCTTCAATGGAAATTTTGCTCAACAAGCCCTAGCCCACGCGCCATCTTCATCCCGCTAGAATAAGGTGAGATTTAGCATTTTTCTTTCTTCTCTTAGCAAAGGTTAGAATTTATGAGTTTATGATTCCTAAAATCATGATAAAAACCCAGATCTTGCTGTTGGTATGCTTCCATTTTCTGGTCCATGTTGGGTGTGAAGGGAGGCTACCATTTTTCCAGCAATTTTGGTAACAAATTTGACATATTGCTCACCTTTTCATCTTTAATTTGAAGTGGATTATTTTTAATCATTTAGGGTTTTCAATTTTGGGAGTGTATCTGTAGTTTCCCCATTGATTTAACCATAATCTAGCATCATTAGCTCTAATCCCTCTTTTTGCTGCAAATTTGGATTGCATGACCTTGCAATGGTATTTTTCTCATAACTCTTTTTGTAGTTATCGAATTAAGTCGATTCTTAATTCTATAGACAGCTCAGAGATAACCCTGCAATTTTTATGTTGGACATTTAACCCAATTCAGCTATTTTCAAGGTGAAAACTTTGCTGCAATTTCGGACCCGATAGGCGGATAACACTTGTAGCCCGACCTTTTGTTAGTATTTTGGCTATAACTCTCTTTATAGATGTCAGATTAAGGTAATTCTTGAGGCTATAGAACGCTAAAACATAGGGTTACAATTTATCTGTTGAGCACTCAACCCAGATCAGTCAATTTCTAGGAGTAAATTCTATTGGAAATTCCAGCACGAAATCTAACTAGAACTTGACAGAAATTTGCTCTCTTTTCTATTCTATTCCTACTTTATCTGCTGCTACATTGCATCATAGTTTTAGTAGACCTTTAGCTGCTATTTTTCTGCTCTAAAATCCTTTATTATTGCTTTACTTTGGCTGCCCTTTTTGCTACTTAAATGCTGTCCATTTTTGCACAGTTCTAGCTTGTGTTCTACTCTGTTTTGTTGTTGTCTTTTGCCCAGAAATACCTGCTATTCAGGGCTTATTCCAAGCATTTGGGGACTACTTTAAATGGAAAAAACCCCTACTTTGCTGCCCAATATTTTAGGTATGTCTAGGATAGCTAAAGAGCTCAATTTTCTCACCATTTTTTCACCTTATTTTGTCTAGAAAATCTGTTTAGAATACCTGTTATTTCATGTGACTTTTGGAGTTGTTTTAAGCCTATTCTAACTATTCATTGATGTGATATGAGTTTTAATTATGTCAAGTGCTTTGAATTCTTGAATTCCTAAATTCCTTGCTCATTGTTAACCTACAAGGCGAGTTAGGTAAAATTATGGTAAATGCCCTAAGATTTTAAGGTAAAGGTTTTAAAGCATATTTTAAACTATTTTTTGAGATGGTGGCAAGATCTAACCCGATTTTTATTAGCACTTGAGTATGACTAATTTGAAATGAAAGTTGTTATTATTTTTATTGAGTTGAGCGTGCATACATGGATTTTTCTTGTTTATTCTAGCAACTTGAGATTGGCTTATGAATTTTAAATTTTATTGTTAACTTTGCATGGTTTTGTCTCCAATATGGTCATGAGTTCTATTCTTCTACCAGTGAGAGTTAAGCATTGGCACATATCGACATGTATTTCTATAGGACTGGTTCATCCAGTCAATGGGAGAGTACACTGGTATTTCTGTTATCCAGCTAGTTGGGAAAGTACACTGACCATGACTAATTGAGGAAACCACTACTAAATTTTTTCTGTATTAATGGTTTATCACTAAGATATTTTTTTGGTTTATGCTTAAATTATTTATTTGGCGTTCTTTGACTTTAAATATAAGCTATTCATATTTTTATTTACTGAGTTATCTCAGATAGTTTTTCCTTGTCCACCATGTAAGGTAATGTGACTTGACACATGGGAAACCAAGGGGAGTGACGAGATAGAAGGCTAGTCATTGTATTTTGGACATATATTTTGAGTTGTAGATTATTCTTTGTAAGTTAGATTTTATTTTGAAATATTGATCTAAGTTTATGTGGATTGTTAGTAATGAATTTAGCAAGTTCCGAGCCTTGTGCATTTGTGGGATCCTTTTACAAGGGCATAGTGTCTGTTTCGCTTTTGGTATTGGAGCGTGACACCTCATGAGACACAACTTGTCTACTAGGGTGACCTAGGGATTTAAAGGCTTGTTACACATGCTAAGTGCAATCGTGATTTGTACGAAAGTAAGTTATGTTTTATTTTGTCTTTTTATTTTGCTCGAGGACTAACAAAACTTAAGTTAGGGGAAATTTGATGGGGTGAATTCAATATATTAATGTAGAATTTTTGCCTTGATATTATTAATATTTGGATAAATTCTATAAGATTTTACATAGTTTTCATTCGTGTAGAAAAGGACTTGAATGCATAATAATACGAGTTTTTGAGATTAATTGAACATCTTTTGAAAGTTGAGGGACTAAACTGCAAGAAGAAAGGTACTTCTTTGGAGACCTAAATGAATGAATCTTAAGTTTTGGGATCTAAGTGCTCATCTACAAAATTTGAAGGATCAAATTTGTAATTTTACCATTGAAGAAATTGCAAAAAGAGGCCAAAAACCGGACCCCGGTGTGGTGTTGACACATAATTAGGGTGCCAATACCATGCGTTAAGCGTCTAGAATCTAAGTTTCTATCTCTTGTCCTGTGTCGACACGTAATTAGTGGTGTCGACACCATGTGTTTAACGTCCAAAATTCAAGTTTCTTATTCTATTCCAAGTCTTTCTTTTTTTCTAATAAGGTTTCTTAAACTCTATAAATACTTATTAAAAAATCAATTTGAGGGCTTTTGGAAGGAGATCAATAGAGGTGACTAAGAGGAATTCAACAACAAAAAGAGATCAAGGTTTGAGATTTTATATCGCCAAACTGGTTTTGCTTGTCCTTGAATTTTATTTGATGGTGTTGGATACTTGTATATTCATCATGGAATTGTTGATTTTCTTTTCTTTAATTATGATTTGATTTAGTCATTTAATGCTACGATGTAGTCTGATCAATTTAATATAGAGTTTTATAATTTTTATATTTTCAAGGTTTATTATTTTATGTAGAGTATATATTATTATTCTTAATGCTTTTTAATAATTGGCCACCATTAAAACTGATTTGGAGGGCATAATTGAGACCGAAAATAGATTTTATACAATAACTTCTAGTAATATATACCATGAATTGAGCGAAAGGCAAAGATGGACCAACGTGATTCGTGCAGCATTAGTGATAAGTGAATTTAATTTTCTACGTAAACTAGGGAATTTCACAAAATATAATGCATGTTTAGCTATTTAAATTCACATAGAAATATATTAGGTTAATAGGTGAAGATAAGATTGGTATAACTTGAGAAAGTATATTGAATAGGACAGGAAATCTCGCTGTCATATAAATAATAAATATCTTGTAAGTATATTAATCTAAATTCTATATTAGTTGATTATGGTGAAATCGGATGCCTTAGAATTTTAACTATTGGTGTTACTTAATGTCAATTTAGTTTTTCTTTAATTAATTTAGTTATTTAGTTTATTCAAATCATTTAATTTCAATAGTCTACAGTCTCTGTGGGACGATACCTTATTTTCATCATTATATTACTTGAATTGACTAGTACACTTACTAGAGTTGAATTAGCTCATCACCTATGCCCTATTACCTTCTCCATTTTCTTCAACCTAAATATACCTTAAAAAAATTGTGTGGAATTTTAATGTCAATTAATGTGCTTGCAATTAGAGCATGTACAATAGAAAACAAGTAAAAAAACTTTCTTTGGTACCATATCCTTACAATTAAAATTAATTTATATAAACTTAATTTTTATATATTTAACTCTTAATGGAACATATAAAAGAATATCTCCCCTAATGTATTGAACTTTCTTAAAAGTCACACCAATATCATTTTATTCAACATACATTTTATATATTCAAATAAAAAAATTTGTATTGAATTTTAATTTTTTTTTTTAAAAAAGGTGAAAGACCTTTGATCCAACGGCTTAAAATGCCATTGGATCCAAAACCTACAAATTTTTTTGCCTCCAAAGGAGTTGAGGCTATTACTACTAAAACTTTTGTTAAGGTTATCAATTGTAATTGTAATTTTATTAATTTATATTTTTTTCTTAAACAGTAGATTATAATATTTGGAAATATTTGTTTATAAATTGATTTTAATATATTAAATAATAAATATTAATTATTTTATTAGTTATTAACTATTTTTAATAGTTATATTAAAATAAAAAATTTGATGATTTTGGCAGTCTTAACAAAATTAATAATAGCCATAACCATAGTCCCTAAGGGAACAAAAACAATGTCATTTTTGCTTCTAGCAGAATGCTCAAATCCACTTCCAAAGTTAGTGATGCACTAAAATCACCTTAACAAGTGTACTAGTCGTCCCAAGTAATATAATGATGAGAGAGTGTCGAACTCACGAGGATTGTGTCTAATTAAGTATCAAAATAATTAAATCTAAATTTATTTGAACAATCAAAAAAGAAGAAACTTTAATTAAAAATAATAAAAAGAAATTAACAATCATGCTAATCAAGATATGAGGTACTAAGGCATTGATTTTACCATAATCAATTAATATAAATTTTGGATTATCAAATTGTTAAGTGTTATTGCATATGATGGCGGATTTCCCTAAATTAATTAACTAGCTTTCTCAAGTCAAGGTAATCCTTCACTGGTTTATCAAATTAATCATGTCTCTATATAATTTTAAACAAACTAATGAGTATTAAATTCTATGAAAACCTTTAGCTTAAGAAGGGGGAGCTCCTAACTCTCTTCTCTTCCTCCACTATCACATGTGAGCTAATTACCTCTCGGTCTCATAGTCTAGCACATAGTTTATATTATTATTGGTCTAATCTATGCAATTCTTTCTCAAGTTCATGCATAAATCACTAAATGAATCGAAAGGTGATCAGGTTTCCAATGCATAAATTCAATAATATAAACTCCTCATGCAACTAATTTTAATTGAAAATATAAAATCACAAAATCTATATTGAGTTGATTAGGTTACATCATAGTTCTAGTAGAATAAATCAGTTCATAATAAAAATAATAAAGTCTGAAATTATAGTTATGAACATTCAAATATCAAACAATAGATAAAAATCCAAGGAAAAATTAAACTCAATTTGAGGAAATCGAACTCCTTGATCTTCTATTGTTGAATTCTTTCTCTTGATCTTCAAGAATGCCCGAAAAAGGGCTGCCACCAGCCTCCACCCAACTCTGCTAATTCTGAATTTGAATGCGTATTTATAGGATTTTAGAAACCCTAATTAGAATAGAAGTAGGACTTGAAGCAAAATAAGAAAGTTGAAATTTGGATGCTGAACGCATGATGTCGACACCCCAAATTACGTGTCGATACAAAACAAAAAACAGAGTCTAATTCTGGACACTTAACGCATGGTGTTGACACCTCGATTATGTGTCGATACTACACTTGTGTCGAGTTTCTGGCCTCCTTTTGTAATTTCTTCAATGGTAAAATGGAAAATTTGTCCTCCAGCTTTTGTACAATGAGTACTTAGATCCCAAAACTCAAGATTCAGTCATTAAGGTCCCAAAGAAGCGCCTTTCTTCTTGCAATTCAGTCCCTCAACTTTCAAAATATGTTCAATTAATTGCAAAAACTCTTCTTTTATGCATTCAAGTCCTTTTCTGCACAAAAAATGAAAATAATGTAAAATCTCATAAAATTCATCCAAATATCAATAATATCAAGGCAACAATTCCACATTAATATGTATACAAATTTAACTCATCAAATTCCCCCAAACTTAAGTTTTGCTCATCATCGAGTAAAATAAAAAGACAAAAAAACAAAAATAAAACCTAACTCACTTTCGTAGAAATAACGATTGCACTTAGCATGTGCAACAAGCCTTTAAACCCCTAGGTCACCCTAGTCGATGAGTTGTGTCTCGTGAGGGTTTTCAGCAGATCTACCCACAAAATCCCAATGCAAGAATGTAACTAGATGATATGCATGCAAAGAAAATTTAGGAATTAAAGTTCAATTAGATACAAAGTCTCAAATATTCATCCTATTCTTCACACCACTTGTTAAAAGATTTAACTCGTGAGCACTTAGTGTGTGTGTGTAAATTCATAGTAAGAAGTCTCAAGTTTAGACTCTCACACCTTAGCACTTATTATTATTTTTATTATTATTTTCTCCCTCTTTCTTTTCTTTTCCTTTTTTTTTTTAGCCAAACAATATATTCTTCCTTCAGCCATCACTTGTCTTTTGACGCGAATACTAACATTTGTGATGAAAGGACCCGGTTACTCAACAAGTCATAAACTCAAAGTGCTTTGCATATGCATATTTCAAGTCACCGTTTGACGTGAAAGTTGACACAGGTCTCATGCCTAACCCCTAGTTACTAAGCAACTAAAAACATTGGAGTAGAAATTAATAAACTCTTTTGTATTGGCTTCTTTTTCTTCTTCTTCTTCTTCTTCTTCTTTTTTTTTTTTTATGTGCTATTTAGGTGCTACTAAGTCTTCTCTCTAGACTTCTCACTACAAACTTGTGCTCAAGTAGAATAGAATACTCATAAACTTAAACTTCATCATAATGGTGCTATTTTTTAGATTTTGTATCTCCTTTAAGAATTAAAGATTTTAGAAGTTTTAAAATTTTCAACTCAAGAATATCCAATTCCTTGGCACTAATTGGACCAACTCCTAAAAAAAACCCTAATTTCTAAAAAAGAAAAAAAATGTATGTTATGCAAATATGAATGCAAACTAACATAATAATGGATGCCTAAAAGTTATTTTCTCCCCCAAACTTAAATCAAACATTGTCCTCAATGTAAAATAAAAGTAAGAGAAAAGAAAAACTTCTCAGGTTTTGCATTTGAAGACTTAAAATTGAAGTTTTGAAGTTGAGTTGTCTTCATTTAGGGGAGACTTCTAGCGTGTGAATTTCCATAGTCTTGTCCCCCAAACTTGTTAAATGACCTGACCAAAATCAAAGAACAACAATTTATGCATTAACCTAGGCCATAAAGAGAAAATAAATAAATAAATAAATAATCTAAACTGTTAAAATAAAAGACAAAGAAATCAAAGTAAAAAAAATTTTATGCTTGGGTTGCCTCCCAAAAAGCGCTTAATTTAAAATCATTAGCTAGACTTTCTACCACTCCAAGGTGGTTCTGGATCAGGTCGTAGGGCATGTTCTCTCGTTTTCTTG